AGTTCTTCAAGTGCCCTCAGCAAGACAGCCGAACAAAAGGGACTAGGATCTCATCCCGCAAACTGATGTTTCTTCTCCCCTGATTGAGTCACAGCGAACTATGCAGCTTTCTTTGACGGGTCCTGGGCTGAACATGCTGTGCCCACATGTCCATATATTCTTGGCCTTCACACAGATCATAGACTGTGGGACCAACTTGCTAAGGAGGGGAATGGGACTGTCCTGTCTACACAGCTGACCTCTAAACTCAAGCAGTCCTTGCCGTAAGAGAGGCCTTGGCCAGGACACCTCAAAAACCTGCTAGTAGCTTCCTCTTTCCTGAAGAATAGAACAGAGCGAATGAAGCCAGAAGCTACCAGCAGGCCTGGCTAGGATGCTGGATAAAGGTGGGTGGGTGTGGATAGGGAGGAGTCTGCTGTCCCTGGAACTGCTTGCAAGGTCTGGGACTGATTCTGCATCTGGAAGAACATTTTTAGTGTCAGATTTGTGAGGCATAGGCAAGGGGGAGCCCTTTACATAATTAATCTCCTAGCTGCCAAGGTCATTTCTGCCCAGCTGGCCAGTCATATTCTCTGCCAGGCTGGGCTCAGGCTAACGCAGTGTGCCCTGAGCCAGACCTGAGCGTGCTGGCCGGGAGCACACAGGTTGGAGCTAACGCAGGAAGGGTGAGAAGAGTCTAGATAGTTCATGCACTGGATCATATGTGGTCTTCAATCAGACAATAAATATGGAGCATCTAAGCCTACCCCTAGTGACAGCTCTGAGGGGGGCCCTTCTGAGGCTAAGAGCAGGAAGCAACAGCGACTGAGTTCTAGAAGGGTCCAGCCATTTCACACTTTGCATGGTGATATGGGCATCAACCACTTCTTCACTTATGTGACCCACTTTGAACTTCCTTAGATTCACAAAGTACTTGTCTTCCAAAAAAAAAAAAATAAACGAATTGATAAAATTATTGAGCTTGTAATGTCGATAACAACATGTCTACTAGGGCCATTTATATCATTTGCTGTGTCTCCTTTGAGAGAGAAGCTAGAGGAGGGTGGGGAATAAATCTTCTTCTTGGGAGCTCCAGCCTGGTCGATGCATTAGCATTGATTAAGTGGCTACTGGGTGCCAGCCTGTTTGGCCATTGAAGATACCAAGGGTGATGCATCAGAGCCTGTCCTCCAGAAGACATCACCGTGGTTGAGTGAGAGGCCTAAGCCAGGAGTCCTGTTCTCACTGCTGAGTGAGGGTATGCCGGAGGGAAGGGGAGACACCTGGGGAGGGGTCAGGTGAGTTCTAAGAGATAAGAAGACTGGAGAAATCGCCATTGAGTGCCAGCTCGTTCATAAATAGGACATTCTATTCCAGAGGCCAAAACACAGCATTGAGAACATTATCGTGCCAAATGGTAGGGCTGGGACTTGAACTCGGGATGCCAGCTTCAGGGTACAGCACTTGGGCACCGTGTTTTCAAAGCCCAATTTGGTTGCCAATTAAAGGGGTTTAGTGCAGCCTCTTGGCCTCTACGCATCTTGAGCCATTGCCTCTAAAAAGACTTCCTGTGGTCGTGTTGATCTGGGATTGGGGACCCAGAAGGGTCCTGTGTCTGCCAGGCAGGAAAGGTGTGCCACCCTGCCCTGGGAGGAGAGCAGACACAGGCCCGGTTGCTGGCACACGTGCCCATGCAGACTGTTCATGGCCTCCGTAGCCTCTGTTGCTTCCTCTCTGGCTGGGTTCCCGTTCTCCGTTTCAGATCTTGCTGGCTTTGAATCACATAGGCTTTGGTCTTCAGAATTCTGAGAAGCTGGCAGGCCCAAGCTTTGCCTAGCGGGGAGCTCGGCACTGCTGGAGAAAGAGTGCCAGGTCCATGGTCGTCTGAAGACTCCAGATAGTTTTGCTGTATGGATGCAGAGAGATATGGGAGCTAGGCAGCCAAGCCACTCTGCCAGAGTAAAGTGGAGCCATGTTTGTGTCCCCCGCCTCCAAGCGTCCGTGTGTCACCATCAGTGTTTATAGAAAGTGCTGCTAACCAAAGCAAGGCATTAATAAAAGCCACACAGCAGGCACATGACGATCGATAGAAGGCCCCTAGGACCAGCCGGTCAGCGTCCTCCTGCCAGTCTGCTTGGAGTCCGCCTGTTTGTCCTTGAACCACAGTGGCTGCTCCTCCAAAACATTTGGCTCAGGTTCATGTCGGTGGAAGCCCACGAATCCAAACTGCCATCAGCCACCAGCTTGTCTTCCTGAGAGCTTCCCGAGGAACCCCTGTGGCACTGACCGCTTTGACCGTTGTCTGGGCAGTTGCTGCCCAGAATGAGAAATGAACATTTTAGGCCAGACTCTCAGGAAAGAAGCTCAGTGTGTTGAATTAACATGTTCTCCAAAAGCAATATTTTTAGAGTAATTTTTAAAAGGGAAACATGTTTAAATTTTGTAAGATTATTTTCAGTATCTATAGTATATGTGTATATGCATCTCTCTCTCTCTTGCTCTCTCTCTCTCTCTCTCTCTCTCTCTCTCTCTCTGTGTGTGTGTGTGTAGCATGTGCTGCCTCAATGTTTTATAATTCTTGTTGTGCCTAGAGTGTTTTCAAAACCCTGGGAAGACTGCTGGGGCACGTGAAGGCCATTTCCTAAGGCCTTATTATTTCTTCCATGAAGCTAAACTTCAAGGTTGCCTGTTTTGTCTTGTTTTTTTTTTTCCCACTGTGGCTTTTTTCTCTTCTGAGCACAGGTAGCATTGATTGCCAATAAGCTGTTCAGCTGCTTTCCAATCATTCTGCTCCGGGCAGCGTCCCTGTGCATCCTGATTTCTTCTGTGCACGGGATTCCCACTGCAGGAGGATCCTGCCCGTCTCCCATCCTTGCTGAGTTTCTTCATCTTTGAGGTCTTCTGCAGTTGCTCTTCTTGATGCCAAAGTCCTGAGCTTTGGAAGGTGTCCAGGGGCAAATTCAGGAGTGCACAGCATCTAGTCTGATCTCACATCCGCAAAGCCAGCTGTCTTCCCATCTCGGCAACAGGTGCTATAGAAAGAGCGAGCTGGAGACGCCACCTGCCCTTCCCCTGACTGCAACCATCTCAGCAAGAGCTTGTTGGCTGTAAACCGGCTCACACGCACACAGCTTAACGAAATCATGCTCCTTAGCAAGCCGTTTATCTCAAATAGAATACTACCCCCATTCTTCTGACTTCTTTTTTAGTGTTGACTTTAGAAGTGGTTTATCAGCTGCTCAGGGAAGTCAGAATCATTGCTTCACTTTCATAGATATGATTTTATTGTCTCAAACTCGGCATCTGTTGAGCTCTCTGTGCCCCTCCTTCTGCCGTTGGGGATGGAGGAGGTTCAGGTGAGAGCCCCAGAGCTAGGGAGGAAGTGATGAACATGCCAGCTTGACCCTGTTGTGTAGAAGTTCTTAGGGTAATAATTGGTGCCGTAAACGTAATCTTATATTAGTTCACAAAAGTTTGTCCATGTGTCTCTCTGTGTCGTACCTGGGGAAACTGTGCCAGGGAAGGGTGAAGCGTGATGCTAGCAGGGGCTAGTGTACATGTATGTACGTATGTATGCATGGATGTATGTAGGAGGGGCTAGTGTACATGTATGTACGTATGTATGCATGGATTATGTAGAAGGGGCTAGTGTACATATATGTACGTATGTATGCATGGATGTATGTAGGAGGGGCTAGTGTACGTAGTGTACGTGTATGTACGTATGTATGCATGGATGTATGTAGGAGGGGCTAGTGTACATGTATGTACGTATGTATGCATGGATGTATGTAGGATTGACTAGTGTACATGTATGTACGTATGTATGCATGGATGTATGTAGGAGTGGCTAGTGTACGTGTATGTACATATGTATGCGTGGATTATGTAAGAGGGGCTAGTGTACGTGTATGTATGTCTATATGCATGGATGTATGTAGGAGGGGCTAGTGTACGTGTATGTACGTATGTATGCATGGATGTATGTATGTATGTGTGTATGTATGTATGTACAGCCAGCGATCCCAGGAAAGATGGAGGGTACGGAATGCAGTGATATCTGTATTATAAACAAACTAGTTTCTTCTTATCCAGTATTTTTCCCCCATGGTTTCAATTACCTGTGGTCAGCACCCAAAACATTAACTGGAAAATTCCAGCACCATAGTTTATAAGTTTTTAGTTGCTCTCCAGTCTGAGAAGTGATATAAACGTGCTGTCCCATGCAGGATGTGCATCAGCCTCGTATTCGGAATATCCACTGTGTATACACTACTCACCTACTGGTCTTGGGAGCCTGTTGCTTATTCCGAATGTCCTTCTGATTTGGGCCATTTTTTTTTCTGCAATAGAAGATTGGAAACTGGACATCTTATAAAGGAAAGTTTATTCTGCTTCACGGTTCTAAGACTGGAAGTGCTGGGCTGGGCAGCACATCTGAAGAGGGCCTCATATCGCATCCTAACATGGTGGGATGTAGAAGGGTAGAGATTGGTTTGGGGGAGGGAAAGCACGAAGGACGGACTGATGCGCTCAGAGCCTGCGTTTGCTAGACGGACCCTAGAACCAGGAGAAATACAGTCTTCACCCTGACCTGTTAACTGTCCCACACGTTTCCCTCAGATGAGGCTAAGATGACTCCTCTTTCCACCCCAGCCCTGTTCTCCCCTCTCTGCTCGTCTGGAGGAACTGCTGTAGAAACAGAATAGGTCATGGGGAAAAGCCTCGGCTCCACAATAAAGGCTGAGTTGGGGCTTTCTCTCAGTCATGAATCCTAACAGTGCAGCAGATAGGTAGGTAAGTGTCACGTAGCTTCCAGGAGTGGACTCAGAACGGGCTCCTGGAGGCCTTTGTTTCTCCAGAAGTTGGATAGCTGTGTGGTGACAAGCTGTGCTCCCTGCCATAAAGGATCAAGTTCCTATGTGTGTCTTGTAAAAATCTGTGCTAGGAATAAATTCCAAGAGGCAGCTGTGTAACTTCCGAGACTTCAATTGCGTTCTTCTTTCTCATTTCCCCTGCAGATATGCACTTGTTTGGCCACTATCCGGCACACGATGACTTCTATCTGGTCGTCTGCAGCGCCTGCAATCAGGTCATCAAGCCGCAGGTCTTCCAGTCGCACTGCGGTAAGTGGATTCCTGCACCCGGTGGATGCATGGTCCGCCTGGGACCCCGGGCTCCCATCTGGGTGGCCCCGTATCTGTCTCAGTCCAAGGCTGTGGATACCCTGGCCTGTGACTGCTGCCTCTGCACACAGACGCCCAGTAGGAGCTAAGTTCTCTTGCTCCGTGATCCTTCCTGTCAGAGCAGGCGGGAGAAGGCCTGCAGTGAGCCTCAGGAGCTGGGACTAATCCGAAACCCTTGTGAACCTTGGTAGTAGCCTCTGCAGGTAGCCAAGAGAAGGGGAGGCTGGAGGCTGGAGGAAGCAGTTCCCTGGCAACCTGCCATTTTCTCCTTCCCAAAAGAGGCTCATGGGAGAGACTCCCCAGATTTGCACACACACAGGGGAGGGCTGGAGCCACAAGTGGCCGGCGTGTGTGACATTGGATGCTGCTCCCAGGGGGTGCATATAAAACCTCCCATCTTCTTGGTCCTTTCAAGAATCCCGCTTATTATATTTTTAATTTGTGCCTAAGAGCTCATTTTTCTCCGAGTCTCTTAGCGTCCTGGCTGTGAGGTGGTGAGAAATTCCTTGACTCCATCAGCAGCAAACTGTGTGCTCCACTCAGTACAAGGACAGATAAAAGCCACATGGCTGCTCCTAAACACCTCTCTGACCTTAGACAGGAAGCCATTTACTCTCTCTGGGTGACCGTTTCCTTATCGTTACCAGGAGTTAGACCACATGATTCCCGCAGTTGTCCTGTGCTGTGTGAGTCCAGGACAGTGTATTCGAGTCTTATTTAACCATTACCCCTCTGATGAACAGGCTCTGAATGCCCCCTCTGCTGTTATTTCCAAAGCATATTCGATATTATGCTTGAACAAAAGAAGCAATTATAATGCTGAGTGTGCTTTGGTAAATGACACCCGTTTCCCCTTTCTCCTAGTGTACCCTGCCTTCCCCTGCCCCTTTTAGTGTTACCATGCTGTGATAAGTAGTCCTGAAACAAAAGAAGGAAATGTGTTTGGGACAGTAGAATAGTCGAGCGTTGATAATATGTGTCTATGTTATCTACATATAGATAAAAGCTGTGTGCCAACTGTAGGTGTGGTTTATGCTTATAACGAGTAGGCAGAGAATCCATGCTTTGGGGGGCACTGCCTTCAGTTAGTCCAAAGCTTTGGTTGGAAAGAGAAGGGGTTCTTTAAAATACTATACAAAGGGCTCTGATGAGAGGTGGGGTCAAGCTCTGTATGTCTATGTCTCTTCCATGAGGAGGTGACGTATGCGTGTGCGTCGATATTGGCGTGTTCATTTCTGGCGGGTGAGAATAAATTGAGTGAGCGTGCATTCAGCGCAAGCTGACCTTGCTCATTGTTCTGTAGCAAATGACCCTCTTCTGGCTGGAAGAGAAATAAGGTCACACCTTTCAGAAGGGAAACTGTCAAGGACCTAGCAGCAATCCTACTAACTGAGGTTACTGGTGAACCGTTTAGAGTGTGTCTGTGGCCAGAAGTCAGTCCCACTCAATCTGTCATTCAGTGAAGATCTGGGGGATGTTGTTCTGTGTGTTTGATGAGCGTGAGGACTCCGGCGTCTCCTGAGTGTTCATCTCCTGGTGTCCATAGGGCCATGCTGCTGCCCTGGGCACTCGGATGCTGCCATGAACACAAGGGAAGGCTGATGCGAAATTGTAAGCCTGAAACCATCACTGAGAATTTAGCTTGCCAGCCGTCTCTGATGGAAGGATCCAGAAAGGGATGAGGTTGTCACCGCTATGTGGATGCTTCCTCAGGGAAAGGGGTCCTCTCGCTTGCAGAGGAGGCTTGGTGTCGCCGATACACACAGCTCTCAACCCTCAGACTTTCTCTGCTGGGATCTGGGACTCAACCTAGGAAGAAAGCCAATGACATCGTGGCCACCTGTTCTGAGCAGAGGCAGAAAATTAGGTTGGAGCTTTGGGGTTACTGACCGCATCGCTTGAGGCCCAGGCTACAGTGAGCTTTCTGCTGAATCAGTTGACAGACAGCCATAGAGACAGAACCGTAACTTAGCAAATAGAGGCAAAGAAGTGTCAATCATCCTCCAGTTGCATGTTCCGATAATACAAAATCAGTATTTCTCGGAGATCAGAGGGAATTCGTGGGGCAGCTGGGAACTGTGGCAAGTCTTTGGGGGAGCAGTTCTTGGAAAGCTCTCCTCAGAATGTCTCCCAGACTTTCTTGATGGTCCATGTTGGATTAGGCTGCCACACCAGTCTGAGTTGCTTATAAACAAGAGAGGTTGATTCCTCCCAATCCTGGAGGTAGCAGTCTGAGGTCAGGATGCCAGCAGTAGATACTGGTGAGAGCTGCCTTCTAGATGCTGCCAGCCAGCTTCTTACTGAGGGCAAAAGCTCCCTGGAGCCTCATGCACAAGGGAAGGAATCCCACCCATCCTGAGGTCTCCTCTCTTGTGATGTAATCGCCTCCAGCACCATCTTGTATCAGGTGTTTGGATTTCAGGACTTCCATGTGGGACTTTCAGGGATGAGGGAGAAGCATTCACCTGTAACTGTTCGTGGGCTGGAGTTGTAAGTCTGCTGTGAGTGCTTTTCCCTCGCTTGCCTGAGACCAACCGAGTTTGATCTCCAGAACTAACCCAGCACCGCTTCTTCTGCGCTGTCTTCCGGCTTTACCTTGGGTGATGAGCCTGGCTGTTTTCAGTAAGTTAATAAAAGTGCTATTGTGCTAAGTGCTGGGCTGCATGCCAGGTGGTTTGCATATCTTTGAAAACACAACCCTTTCTGCAGCCCCGTGGAGTTGGGGAAGCTGGCGCTTAAGAAGTTGGGTGCTGTGTCCAAGGTCTCAGAGCAAAACGGAAGAGGGCCTGGTTTGGAGTGCAGGTGTCTTCTCAGAGCAAGGGGCGAGCCCGCACGCCAGTGTCCTCACAGCCTGTGCCCTGTGCAGTTTCCGACTAGATGTACTTCTTGCCCACTAGGCCTTCTCTGAGTCTCCTCCAGGCCCACTGCCCACCAGAGCTCTCCCATGTCATTTGAGATGTGCTCATGTGTTGGAAATGACAGGCTTAGGGGACAGGCAGGATGGTCCTGTGTGCCCCTTACTGTCTGTGTGACCTGGGGCAGCCACTTCATCTTTCTCTACCCCCGCTGGTTCATCATAAAATGTGTTCTCTTTGTGGAGCTGTTGGGACAACATGACGCGTGACTATGTCACTTGGAGTTCACTTCATCCTCCTCCCCCTCTTTCTAGACCCCCCCCCCCCCCCCCCGCCATGGCTGGATTCATGGGGGAAGTCCTCCTTCCTAATACCCATAAGCCTTTGTTCACTTTCCACTTCTTGCCATGCGGTTGTCTGGGGTTTGTCTCTGCTGTCACTGCTAGGGTTGTTCCTTTGTGCTTCTGCATTCTCCCCCACAATAAGGCCTTCTTGGGTGTGCGTCTTCATTCACGATCTTGGTGTGCAGGCCATTAATCTACACTCCCTGTGTGCATTTCTCTGTGCGTGTGTGGGTACATGTTTCTGCGTGGGCAACGCATGGCAGTGGCTGCAGCTACTTGTCTAAAACTGGTAGAGGAGAACAATTTCTTACTTCCTGCACCTGATCCTGTGCTTTCCACATCAAGTCCGACTCTGACCATCTCTACCCAGGGTAAGTGCAGACCCATAAGGAAAAGGTTCAACCCATAGGCACATCCACAATCACAGATAATGGTCGCACGGTTACTTATACTTTTGTTTGACTTGCAGATTCCACTTTGCTGTAAGGATGCTAGGGGTTCAGGGAAACAGTTTGCTTGTGTTTACTCTGTTATTCTAACTCTCTCTCTTTCGCTTCCAAGACAGGGTTTCTCTGTGTAGCCCTGGCTGTCCTGGAACTAGCTTTGTAGACCAGGCTGGCCTTGAACTTGTTATTTTCACTATCAGTGCTGTCGTGAAGACAGTTGTAAAGCATCGGACTAACACAGAAAACCGTAGGGTGATGGTAGAGGCCCTGAGCACAGCACTTTTGCTGTGGCGGAGTTGAGATATACCCCTGGCATGTGGTTGCACTGGCTCCCCCAGACTCGCTCAGCTCTGACACTCAGGGATTTGTAGAGGCGCCATTGTACGGTGATTCAACGCGTTAGGCTTTGGTGTTCACTACGATCTCTAGCACGGAGTGAATGGGACTGAAGATTCCCCTCTTCTACTGTGTCTGGTACTTCTGAGCATCAGCCCTTATCCTGGAACCATCTAGAATCTTAGTCACCTCATCAGCAAACACAAAAATGCTTATTTCGGAAATCTCAGAGACTCCAGATGTTCTGTGCCAAGAAACTGAAGGCTAGAACCAAACACAGCAGAAGATGACCCCCACACCCTGTTTGTCACCTGTCACCAAGGAAGTAACACGTTGGAGTATCTGCCAGAAACTTGGGACAAAGACCAAATATATACTCTTTTTGACATCACAATGTCACAGCAGCGGAATGAAAGAATAGAATGTCATTAAAGGAAACTCCTTGAGTTGTGGAGGTTGAAACCCTGATACGCTTGTCTGTACAGCCTTGGGCTAATTACACTGCCTTCTTTCTGAGCCCGGTTCTCCTCATATCTGAGGTGAGACCGCCAGTTCCTGCCCTGCAGAATTGCCGCGAGGAAAGGAAAAAGGTTGTATACTTTGCTGGCATGGAGTAAGGAAATAAAGGTTAGCTTTTATTGTCAATAAAATGTGGCCCTTTTTTATGAAGTTGAAAGTTTCTTATGAGGAATGGGAAAACCGCTTCAGCCAATTGTTTCCTGCCTTTGCTCCCCGCCATCTCAGGGGATGCCACTCCGAGGTCAGTCCGTGGCCCGGGCTGTGATTCACTGCAGCTTCCTGCCCTTGGAAACAGAAGTAGTCTGCCTGACTGTGATTACATCTGCTGGGAGCCTCGAGGATTGCACTGCACAAATATTGGTTTACATTCTCATTAGGCCCCCGGGGTCAGCTCCCTGGAAATGTTAGGAAGCTCTAGTCTATCTCTGGGTCCCTGACGA